TTTTTTTTCTGATGCAATCCCCCATAAGATCATATAGCTGCAAATATTTCTGAGAATTTTTTAACGTAGTGTTTTCCCCTTTTATGCTGATCTTTCAGGGTCTTCCTATCATTACCATTGGTGCTGGGCTCAGTACATTTGATAAAGCTTCTGTAAGGATCTTTCATTTTATTACATCTTTATTTAAATATGAAGGTTAATAATTTGCGTTGTGCAGTGGTGATAATATTGACTTGTATCTGATTCTGTTTCTTCTTGCTGGTCCTCTTTTTGTTTCTTTTAAAGCAGTATATTTGAACACTGCTATGTGCACATGTTTTTTTTTGTATGCAATTTACTGTTCGGTTGTATTCACTTCAGCACTGCCTTTGATTGCTTTTAGGTACATTACTATGTGCAGTCACACATCCAAATAAATGAATATAGAGATCGTGTGATATTGGTGGGTTTAGTCTCTTCTGTGTTTATGACAAATAATTATCATTTTTTCTTGTTGCATAGCTGAATTTGGTTAGTTTTTCTTTTAGCCAACTGCAACCAAGAAGTATGGACGACATATCAGCACCTGTCTGAAGGTTTTAGATATGACTGGCTTAAAGTTTTCAGCATTGAATCATTTAAAGGTATCTTTTATGTTAAGTGTACTTTTAATTTGTCATTGATTTCAACTACACAGCTCTCCTTATTTATCCTTGCATGAATTTGCTGCATTTATTTATACAGGTGCGTTCATTGTACTGTATTACTTTCATGTTATGCAATTCTATGTAGAATCATTTAAAGGCATCTTATACTCGTTTATTGTGCTGTTTACCAGCAGTTTAACATGAAGAGTGTTCTCTAAATGGTAATTTGAAGCTTTGAAAATTTTCAGAAAGGGAATAGGATATGTAATTGTAGCTACTTGTGAGTGGAATTGTCACACAATCATGGCAAACTTTTAAGTTGAACAATGTTCGCCAGTTTTTGTTTTCAGCTGGTGATATGCACTTAATCTGCACTATTATTTTTATGTAGATGCATCTGCAGTTTTGTGGTTCCTTTTGTTTTATGTTTCTCAAAAGAGCTTGTCTAGGTAGAAGGTTTTGCCTTGTTCTCATGTTTTATCGACTAATTAGCTTATTTACTCTTGGGAGTCTCCTGAAACTCACAAGTTCTGATATATATATATATTTTTTAATCTTCTATTGCAGCTATTGACTACCATATCCACAATTGATGACTTGAATTATCCAGAAAAAACAGAAACATACTATATTGTCAATGCCCCATATATATTTTCAGCTTGTTGGAAGGTTTGTGTTTGCTTTTTTTCTAGTCTTGAAGAATTTTAGAATAGTTGTCTCAGGAATATGATACGCTTACCCTCTTCAGCAGCTTAAAACATTTTGGAATACATTGGCAGGTTGTGAAGCCTCTCTTACAAGAAAGGACAAGGAAGAAAATTCAGGTGCTACAAGGTTGTGGAAGAGATGAATTGTTAAAGGTAAGGTGGTGTAACAAAGCATTGTTTCTGAACTTTCTTCTAAGCTTGCATTTCATTTCTAATATCAGCAATGGCTTTTATCTTCTAATGCACCTTTACTCCTGCCCCTTAACCCTTTGGTATAGCTTCCTGATAGAGGACCGGTACTTTAAAAGACAAAAGCATGTTACTGAGAATGAGAGTATTCATAGTAGCTCCTCCCTCATTGCCCTCCCTTCATTTTGCATTTTATATGGCAAATAGGAATTGGGACTCTAGTTACTGGATGATGGCCTTGAATTTTAATCACTCTTATGGGCTGTGTGATTGTTTTATGTTGTGTTTCTGCAAGGCAAAGCCAACTGAGTTGCATTTCTTCTGGTGTATTTTCCACTTATTGAAGAATGCCAATCTCATATACCTCCTCCATGACACAAGTAACTAAAGATGTCTGATCAGGTTGATTTATCACTTGCATGCAGATTATGGATTATTCTTCCCTGCCACATTTTTGTAGAAAAGAAGGCTCTGGTTCATCCAAGAACACTGAGGATGGAAGCAATTGTTTCTCCCCAGACCATGCTTTCCACCAACAGCTATACAGTTATATCAAGCAGCAAGCTGAACTTCTGGATTCAATTTCACCAATCAAACAGGGGTCAGTCCATGTGGGTTTCCCTGACCCAGACCCCGAAGATGCCAAGATTGCTAAAACAATAGAATCTGAGTTCCACAGGCTCAGGAATCTGAATGGGCTATCTAACTCATTAAATGGCCTTAAAGTTGATGGTAACTAACAGATGGAGAAGGGGCAGCTTTGACTCGTTGCATATTCATGCCTGCCTACTTTGAAAGCAGGATTGTGTAATTCAGGTAGTATGTCATTGCTTGTATCAAGCTCGATGCAGGTTTTGATAAAAAGACGAAACTAATCTGTAGACTGACAAAACCACCGTCGAGTGGATAATTATATTCCAGTTTCAAATATCAGGAAGCACTTTTATTGCTTCACACACTGAGGTTTCCATTCTGATACTTCACTTTCTTATCTTTGCTGTCAAAAAATGCTTTTGTTCTTTTTGTTAATTTTGATATGTTATATTAAAAATAATTTTTTTTAAAAAAAAATATTTTGATTCTGAAAAACTCTAATGAAGAATCATTGTTCTCTCAAAAATATTATTTTTAATAAACTTTAAAAAATAAAAAATTAGCCATTATAATAAATGTTGTGGGGAAATGATTACATATAAGAAGATATTTTATTGTGGAGTGTAATAGGAGTTTAACTTTTAATTTTTTATCTTTTTACAAGTGAATAAATATTTTTTTTGACTTTCTTGCCCAAGGGTATTTAGGTTTTTTCAAGTACAAGCAAATAATGTTTAGTTTCAGAAAAAATAAAAGAAAACTTTATTTTTGGGGGGTATTTTGGTATTTTGCTATGGGTATTTTGAGTAATTAAGAGGATCATGGGGGTTTTAGTATTTTCATGTACTATTTTTTATTTTTTATTCTAAAAGCTACTAAAGTATGTTTCGCATATCCTAATAAGTGAGTTGTGCCTGTGCTATTAAGGAGAGGTGTGAAATACTTCTTGGTGGTCAAATTTAGCTAACCATCGTATCACTAAATGCACGGTCGTGTTCTCTTCCACATTGAGTGGTGCATGTAGACATATTATAGTTGGATTGCCGTCGGTAATCAATTGTTTTTGTTTTTTTTCTTTTCTCTCCCTACAGCTAAAATGCACAATTATTCTCTTTTTGTTTATTGTTTGTTTGAGTCTAACAACCATGTTTAATGCCAAATCTAGGCTCGCTCGGGTCTGGCATGGTTGCCAAACTAAAACACGTTGGTCTGGCAAGACTGCCAAACCAATGCGGCTAGGTTTACCAGGCTCAATTGCCGTAGGTCTGTATATTGTTAGACCCAAGCAACATGCCAGACCTAACTAAACTTGGGTTAGATATGGTTATCAGACTCAAGAATCTTAGGTCAGACATGGTTGTTAAACTTAAGGACCTTTATTATTATTGTTGTTGTTGTTATGAACTTGGGTCAGACATACTTGTTAAACCTAAGTAATGTGAATTTAAAAATTATTTATAAATAAAATATAAATAATTTATAAACAATAAATCATCATAAAAATCTAATTTAACGTTTTAAATCTAAAAATTCAAATCATATTTTTCCATGAAAATAGTTTAATTTTTATGTTTATAAATTTGTTATTTATTTAATAAAAATTCTATCTTTTATTTTTAACTGTATATGTTTTTAAGTCACTGCTTGGATTTGACTTGATTCAAGTGTTTGAGTCTAATAACTATGCTTAAACTTAAGTGATTTGGGTCTAACGGTTATACTAAATCCAAACATCTTGGGTCTGGAGATCATGCTATACCCATGACTTGAGTCTAGAAGCTTACGCTTAGGTCTTATCTTAAAAAAAAAAAACTTCTTTTGTGACATAAATCTACATAAAAGGTTCAGGCAAATATTATAAAAAGTTAAAAAAATCATATAAATTTTATAATGAAACTAAATATATATAGTCCAATATTGTTAAAAAAATATATAAAATAATGTTGTTGATGGTGAGAAATCACAAACAACCACCTATTAAATAAATAATTTTTTGCAATGAGTTTAAATAAAGAAAATATAAAAAAATATAAATTAAAAAAAATAGAATTTTTATTGAAACAATAACAAATTCATAAATATAAAAAATAAACTATTTCAATAGGAAGATGTGATTTAAATTTTTAAATCTTAAATATTAAATTAGATTTTTGTAATGATTTGTTGTTTATAAATAATTTCTAAACTTGAATTTCTATTTAAGATACTTGAATGGAAGTTTAAATTATTGTTTTATAAAAAATAAAAAAAGTTAATTAGAATTTTTATTTAGAATGCTTCAAAATAATTTAAATGATTTTTTTATAAAAAAATAATTAGAATTTTTGTTTATAGTATTTAAATGATATATTAAATGTTTTTTATAAAAAAATTAATTATAACATCTGTTGTTACTTTATGAATAATAAAAATATTCTTTTATAAAAAAATTAATTAAATATAACAACTAGATTCAAGTTGTGTAGACATGACATGATTGCCAAAACCAGAACCAGTGTTCCAAAGTTTCCAAACCGAGGCAGAGGCCTGCCAAAATTACTAAACCCAGGCGCGCCTCCGATCGTGTTTTTTTCAAGAAAGCAACACGTTTTAATGGTTTACTCTGTTGTTAGTAACAGCGCATGTTAGAGTTTTTTTCTTTCCTGTTCTAAGTAGATAGTTTTTTTTTTTAATTATTATTTGTCATAAAGATGTGAGATAAACAATATCTTTATCGTTAATAATGTAGGAGATAAAAGATTTCCTTACCTGTTTTTTATTCTCAATATTTATCATTTTTTAATTAGTTCTATGTTAAATAAACTCAAATCTTTTCTTAGTAAAATTATTTCCAAATTTAAATGTCCTCATAAAAATAAAAATAAAATAAAATAAAAGAGTGCTCATTCGAAGCTGAAGGACCTTGTATTGATCATATGCACATTTCAACATGAACATCCAAGTTTGGGAATCGAGAAGATGAAGGAAATTAATTCACACGTCTGTACACATCTGGTCCTGCGGGGTTCAGGCTGAATTCCTTCGCCCCTGAAATAGATATTACAAGCATTGGATACAAGAAAGGGGAAACTAGCCACACACTGGATTTTGAAGTTCTATCACAGCTGTCTGTAGCACTTGTAAGCAACAGCAACCGACACTACAGCACAAACAACAGCAAGAGCTGCGTATGTATCCTCACGCTCCCAGCTCTCAAACCAAGTTGGCATAGCACAAACCTTCCGTGCAGATGATCCCTTACTGCTGTTGATCCGGGATAGTGGTTTCTTGTTGCTCTTCTTCTTTTCAGGTGTCACCTTGGCTGTCCTCTCATTGGCATCTACAATATCCTTCTCTGGTAAGACAGGGTTTTGGCAACAGGATGAACTTCCATTTTGCTGACAACAGCCTGTAGAAACAACATCAGACCTACTCGAGCTAGTGTTTGATTTGTCTACCGGTCTTTGTGTAATCTCTTTACTGTTTTCTATAGTCCCGCCATTCTGTTGGAGCCTAAGTTCGTGGGATTTAATCTGTTCTTCTTCTGATAAACCCATCTGGCCCCTGAAAGTGAGCAAGCAAATGCTCCATTAAAGTCTGCAAGGCATGCTTAAATCACGTCCTAAACAAAATCTGTAAAATTACTAGACACCTAGCATTCATGGTCGCACATCTTGAACTTGGTGAACAACCACTATTTTCAATTCCCCAGTTTCATCATTGTGACACCTAAGGAATCAAGGGAACTTCCTCCACAATCCTACTGTACAGCTAGCATCTATATCACAAAATCCCCGCCAAGGCAACCAACCAAAGTTTTTGGTGAACAAAAATTAGTGCAGGAAACTAAAAACTACCTCGGCCATCATTCATAGCTTTATAAAACTAGAGATTATAAATTAAGAATACCTCCACAGCCGGTCTACAATCTCACCCTTCCCAATATGCTGCTCGAGTAATATTTGTATGTCATCTGGTGTGACATACCCGTACCTGTCAGCATTTTAAAACACATACCCGAAAAGATTTGGTTATCTAGAAATATGTTTTGGTACTACAACTACCAAAATAATAAAGTATTTATTCCAAAAGGAGGATCATGAATGAAAGGGGGGGAAACACAGCTTCCCTGCTTACCAGTGTCCAGTGACAGCTCCTTTGAAACTTGATCCAAATATAATGACATTTCCTGCATATTTATGCCCTCCAATGTGTGAGCACGGGCTGACGGATACTTTACCTTGGAGACCATGTAATTCTATCTCCTCTTTGAATTTACTAACCAAAACAGGTCCACAAAAACCACAGCGACGATCTCGGGACCCATGAGAACATACAAAAACATAAGAACCCTTTAATTTTTCAGGAGTTCCAGGCAACCATTCACCATCCTTCACAAGCACTTCCTCAACAAAGGTGTCGACATCAAAATGCGTCAATCTCCTGCATCATTTGATAAGGATATCAGTGTTTAAGTAGAGAAGTACAAGAGCATCTAGAGCCACGTAAAAGAGCCACTGGTTGACCTGTATCTGATCATATCTGGGAAGATTAACACATCTCCATTTGATGTCTCAGTTCCATCATGCCCCTCACATATTGTTAAGCGGGTCTACAAGACAAAAGCAGGAAAACCTTGGAAAGTAAGAAGCTTAACAGTTGATTTCCTTAACTTGCTTTTGCAAAGGACACAAGGCTAGAAGTTCGCTTTAAGTAAACAAATACATGGAAATGTGCACCCACATGCAAGTTTTTACATCTCTCTAGGAATTATTTTTTTTGTAAAAAAAAAATAGCACACGAGAAAAAAAATTGCAAAGTAGCACAGTTGAAAAAAATTGGAAAATAGCACGCCTCAAGTTGTTGCACTACTTCCAATAGCACAACCTTTGAAATTTCAAAATTTTCAATGGGTTGCACTGAAATTGAATTGTGCTACTCTCAGGAGTGCATCTTGGTTATGGCCTATTAAATTTTAATTGGTTATGCTACTCTCAGTAGCGCAACCAAGTAGTGCAACAATTTTGCTATTTCCCCAATTTTTTTCTTAGTAGTGCTAGCTTGTAAATTATTTTTGCTAGTTGGCTAGTTGTGCTATTTAAAAAAAACTCATTATACAGCAAACTATGATATGACAGTTGACAGCAAGGGCTAGTGAAAAAGTCATGTCAATATAAATCAATGATATATGTCCACTCTTCAATGGAACTTCCATGATTTTCTTTTCCTATGCAGAACAAGAATGTTAACCATCCATATAGCCAAGGGTTCCTACAGCCAAAAATGGAACCCCTTTATGATTTACAATACAAAGCACCAAACCATTTGTCTTCCAGTCCAGGTCTACCTAAATTATAGATGTAGAACAGCATAAAATTTAGAAAACCAAGGAACCTGGGGATACTGTTTAGATATCTCAGAAACTTCACAATTACAGCTGTTTGATATGATGAAAAAGCCATGTGAATTTGTCTACAATGCTTATGCTTTTGTCATTTTACCTATCTGGATCATATAAATAACAGGCAGATTCTCAAGATTGCAATTTGACAACAATAAAAATATAGAGATAAAACAAAATGGCCAGAAACAGATTGACTGATAGAGTACAGCATTATCATAAGCATCTAGCAATCTAAGTTTTTAATTATATAGTCCAGGGAGGCAACTCAAGAACCAAAAGCATCATTTCCTTCTAAAGCCATACCTTTCAACTATGAAAACATAGATCGATCTTCAAACAGAGCTATCTAACATAGTTATAGGCATCATAACATTGTTATATGCGCCATCCAGATCATGATTGACTTTCCACGGAAGTACCCAAAGTACTGTCGATCATCCCCCAATGTCTCCAAAGCACTAAAATCAACTCACAGCCCCCATTTACAACTTTACCCGCAATGGGTATCCTTTACATTACTTCAATAACAAAACCAATGCACAAGGCATGATGGCACACCAAACGTACACTTTGAAAAACTGAACCACCATACACTAAAATTCATATAATTGATCATATGTACTACTCCAAACTACCACCAAACACAGCCAGTCCATAAACCACCCAGAGCACAAGTCAATTAAATACCAGAACGACCAACCACTATGAAATTATATCAATAGGAGGCCAAAGCACAGCATAAATCATCATCAAATCAATCTAGTCAATGGATAAAAAGAAAACCTTCAAACTTCTAAAATACCAACCAACTCAAAGGAGACTTTTTTGATCCCCTAAAATTAACATATCAGCCATCCTCCTCATTTGAAGTCAAACCAACATTTCTCTTCACTCATAGACAATCCTCTAACTGCAAATAACCTCATCTGAAATCATTAACACTAGAACCGACCGCATCAACCTGAAGCAAGAATGACACCAAATAACAAACCTTCAATCTAATGGCATTCTGACAAACCCACACCTAAAACCTCAGTCCAGTGAAGCTTAAATTGCAGATCTCCAAATCCCTAAAGCACCTATTACCTTCACCGACCTCAATTCAGTTCACTCAAAGCAAACCCAACCCTACAAGAATTCATAGACATCCAAACATCCACCACCAAAACAGTCCTCAAAATTTAAATGAGCTGTGGTTGGTCCCCAAACATAATCGAATTCAACAACACTAAAAATTAAAACCTAATGCATCAACTTGAAGCAAAAATACCAACAAACACCTCACCTTCAAATTAGCCATAGATTGAAAAATCCACAAGAAACAGAATCACTCCAGTCTACTAATCCAAACCAAACCTATCATTTTGAAGTAACAATACCACAAAATCACGCACTTTCAATAATCGAACCAATCCAAAAACCACCAAAAATCCCACTTCAATGTATGTTCAATTCACTGAAACTAAATCAACCATATCACGTTGAAGCTAACTAAAATAGCCCCTAATCAGAGACGTTCAAGTCAGCCATAATCTGAACCAATTCACAAACCAGCCCACTTCAATCCACTAAAACTATACTAACCCACATGAAGACCAAAGAGACAACGCAAACAAGAAGACAAAAACCAGTTCAAAAATCCCACAAAACCAAACAACCCACCATCAGAATGAAAGCTAAGAAATCACATTAAAACAAACAAACCCACTTCAGTTTACTCAAAAACAAAAGCAACCCATTTCAAGAATGAAACCGAAAAGCACACCTCGTTCTTCATATCTCCTTTCCTAGCCATGACAGCAGCGAAGAGCAGCCTAGGCAAACGATCAAACTCAGCAGCCTCAATCCTAGGTGGCCAAACAGAAGGGTTCTTGTAACACAAGAAGACGTGGCGGTGATACAACTGTACAGTCCCAGCAAGTGGGCTTTGTCTGAAATCAGGTCTAGTGAACCCAATCTCTGCATCACTGCCGCTGGTCGTAGTAGAATCAGCGAGGAAAACAGAGTCGTTTTGGTAGCTATTGGAAGCACTGCCAAAGAGAGAGCTTGAAGGGTCGGCGAGGAAAGAGGGGTCTAGATGGTCAGAAACTGTGATTGGAGAGGAAGATGATGAGAGGTTGTTGGTGTATGAAAGGGAGTCGTCTCTGTTGCTTGCCATTTTTCGATTGTGTTTTCCACTCCAGATTGGCTTTTCAAGTTTCCAGTGCAAAATAAAACATTTTCAATCCTTTTATTTTCCTCTCCTTTTCTTAATTACTAAGACATTTTTTCCTTTTAGTTATTCAAACGGCGTCTATCATGTCACCATCTTTATTTTATTTTATTTTATTTTCAATGACTGCCTTCGCTGCGAAAGCTTCCAGCATCCAAGCAGGGATTGCTCTTCAATTTTAATTTGTTTAATTTGTGTAGAGACTTTCGATATCATTTTCGTTTTCTGTTTCTGTTCTTCTTCTTTTTCCAGATTTTGAGTTCTTTTTAAAATATTAAAACGTTAGTTATTTTATTTTAATTTTTTGCTTTTTTAAAATATATTTAATCTCAGTAATAATAAGATATTCCTGTTATCATTAATGGTCCCTGTACTTCTGTAGCTTGATTGTTTATATAATAATTATTTTTTAAAGTATTTTTTTATATAAATATATTAAAATAATATTTTTTTAATTTTTAAATAATTCGAAATATATAAAAAAGAATTAATCTTAAATAAAAAGTAATAAAACAATGGTTAGCCCAACACCCCATCTTGAGCCCATAGCATTAGAACCAAGGCCCAGCTTGAATTCTAATCATGATCCATGTCCATTTCCCGGTTCTTAAATCCAACCTAAGTATGAAAATATATGTTAATAGCCTAATAATGCAAATATATGTAAACAAAAATAACTTGATTGTGTTCCTCTTCAGAATATTATCTATTTTCCTTTTTTTCCTGTATTTTTGTGTGTTTGGTTTCATTTGATATATTGTTTGGTTCTTAGATGACTAGATTTTCATATAGATTAAGAATGATAAAAGGGAGGTGTTTATTAAAAGAAACTTAAATGAGTTGTTGATTTTGGTAGTGCAGTGACCTCTTTTTTTGTTGTGTTTTAAAAGTATATTTGATTTTGAAAAACATCAATTAATGTTTTTTAATAGTTTTAATGTATTAATGTTATAAATAAAAATAAAAACAATCTAAAAATTATTTTTTATGCAATTTCAAGTAAAAAATACTTTTAAAAAGTATTATACATTTCAATACCACCAAAACACACTTCACGTTACATTGTGAAAGAAAACACTATTGAAATCCACCTTCACAATAAGTGGATTTCAATAGTGTTTTCTCTTCTTTCTTTTCTTATCCTTGAAGAATTTTCTATTTTGATCAATGATTAGTACTTAAAAGTATATTTTTATCAAGATTTTATATCAGAATTTTACGCTTGAGGTATCAATAACGTCTTAACTAAAACATGTTTTTATAATAACAAGTCTAATAATATAAGATACATTTAATTTATGGTTAACGTTCATCTTAAATACAGGCTTGTCACCTAAATCAAATGATTGATTGATGAGTTCAACTACTGAAATTGAGAAGACAAAGAGAGGGTAAAGCTTAGAAAAGATGTGCTGGTTCAGTCCAAATTAGAACATTATTTAGTCATTGGGTCATATATGAAGAAATAGATCTTGGATTTCAATTTGGTTTATATGGCTAAAAAGGTAAGATATAGTTTTAAAACATTCATAGGAATGCAAGACTCATTTTTGCTACTTAGAAGTTCAAATCTTAGCAACACCGTAGAAGTCAGAATCTATTATACAACCCAGATACTGTTTAGTATTTAGCCCATATCTTGAGTTTTAGAAGTCCAAATAACCTTATTTTTTTTTTGTTGGAAAGCAGAGACAATTTTCTAAAACTTTCATGAATCAAGTCCTTCAAATTCTGATGTTAGCAACGACGTTTTACTCAGACAAGAATATAAGGATTGTTACCAAGTTAAAATGTGGTCTCCCACTCAACAATTAGTCAACAAATCAATAGTTTTTACTTTTTCCCTATAAAAGAAGACATTTGTCATGCATTTAGATATCTTGGTTTTCAGATGATGATTATATTCTTGTTCTATCTCTTTTGTAATGCTTAAGTTTTTCATTTATTAATATTTTGTTTATGCCTTACATTTCATTTTATTTACTTAGTTAACTTATATCTTATTTATATTTTAATCTTTTTATTTATGTTTTTCTCTTTGATTATATTTAGTTAAGTTTGTTATGTCAAGGTGAAAAGGTTACACTAATAATGTAAGAATAAGTGTAGTATAAACTCAACATAAACTTTAATATTCGATACTAATATGTTTTATATTTGTCATCTTGTTCACTTTTAATACTTTGCTTCTTAAATAGTTAATCTATATTTATATTATATAACACTTGGTACAATAAATACTTTTGATTGACACTTTCATAGCTCAATCGTATGGTATAACCGGCACCTGTGCTATAAAAGAAACTTGATTTGTTATTAATATAAGTTATAATCATGAAAACCTGATAACATTTACAAGTATTATCATTATTCGAATAAGATAACTAATACAATCATGTTAACAATCTATAATCCGATTGAAACCTCATTTATGTGTGGTTTTCAATTGAGTAATAAAAAGAGTTCATATTATACTTGTTTGAAATACCACTAGTTAATTCTCTAACCTTGACAATTATTTTATCCTTATTTAAATTCTCACATTAATCTTACATCTCAAAATTCTCTTTGTTTCTTCTTTTTCTTATTATTATTATTACTATTACAACTACTACTACTATTATAGTTAACCTTCCCGTAGTTCGACCCCGGTCTTGCCAAATTATTTATTACTTTAACACTCCTACACTTTGAAGAAGACATTCACTTTTTGGTCATGTCAATCACTTAACTTTTTGTTTCAATTTTATCCTCTCAAATTAAGTTGGCTTTGATTTAGGACTGATAATTTATTTCAATTAGTTTGTTACAGGGTTCATATGATGTTAAAAACATTCTCATATCAAATTGATGCCTAATTTGGCAAGATAATGCTCAATTTTATTACTAAAACTTCAAGGATTGGATTTGACTTTGAAACAAAATGCAGACTTTTTTCTTTTACTATTCATAAAGCATGTTTTTAAAAACTTTGGTCCAAAGTTTTTTATTTTTTATTTTTGATGTTTTATTTTAGTTTAATCCAAAACTTTATTTTTTTCATGTTTTAGTTCCAAAGCTTTTAAGATAAGAGAGAAAATCACCAGAGAGAGAGAGAGAGAATTTTCTTCGCCGCACTCCAGCACTAAACAAAATTGCCTTTGGTGTCAATGGGATCCAATGGATGAGAGGAGTTCCATTGAGGTGTTCTAAGAAAAAACAAATCGGGTCTTGGGTTTGTTTTATTAATAAGGGTGAGTTTTCAACTTTTTGAGGAATTAAATAATGTTTTGAGATTAGGTATGAGTTGATTGATATTTGTGAATTTTTTTAAGGTGTTTTCAAGTGAAAATAAGTTATAAATGGCTTTTTTTGTTCCAAATAGTTGCTACTTAATTTTTTGGCAACTTTCTAGCTATCTTATATGGCTAGAGTGCAACCAGCGAATAACATATTATCCATTGTCCATCCATTTTAATAAGAAAAAAATAAGAAGAAGAAGGTTAGACACCGGCTGACTTGACCTTTTTTAAAATGAGGCAAGTGCACTAGCTCACCAAGATCCAAACATTGGACTTTTTTTGTATTTGTGGTTTTTTTAAAAACATATTTTTACATCAACTTTAATAAAAAGATTCTTTAAAATAAACTAATTAAAAATATATTTGATATTATTTTATCAAACACCTTCTAGTTTTTAATTTATTTTTAGTAAGATTTTAGCATTTATTTTATAATACTAGCAAGACTTATTTTGGTACAACACTTTATGATTGTTCCTTTTACTTTATTTGAATCTGATGGCTTTCTTTTACTTCTTGTTGTAATTGTATAATTAAAAAAAATTATCAAAACAAACAAATCTATTAAACCTAACTAAGTTAAACCAAACAAGGTCCATGATTCAAGTTATCGGTTTAGCAGTGAACTTGAGTTGATGTGGGACAACCCAACACATCTTCCTCTAACTATTAAAAAACAATTAAACAAAGAAATTTTGAAGATTTGAATCGATTCAAAATGATATTTATCTCAATATTTTTTAAAAAGTATGAAGAGTGATGTCATGGATTTTTTTAAAAGTTAAATTAGATTTTAATTCAGTATGAATTTATCAAATTGATTAAGTTATTTGAAATTAACTCTATTTTAACCAATTAACCATGACAATGGGCCTAGAGGCTAGCCTGATAAGTCAAGCTAAATTTAATAATTGCCAAATAGTTTACCATGGTAATGCATAAATAATGTATTATTTTTATGTTTTTTTAATACTTTCACATCAAATTATCGTAATATTAGTTTTTTAACAAATTGAACACACTGAGAGGATAAAAAAGTTTTGATTATAAAAATACATTTTTTATTTTTATTTTAAATCATTCATTTTTATTGGTATTCACCTGATTGCTTTTGTTTTTATTAAATAAATAAATAAAACAATAAATATAATTTTTTAAGAGATTAAAAAAGGAGGAATTATACTATAAAATTAATTTGTTTTGATATAATTTCAATTACCTCTTGTTATATTAAAAAAATATTTTCATATACATAAATAAATAAATAAGATTTTGAGGGCTTCCCGCCATACAAGATCAAATATTTTAGTATGCATCTATCTCTCAAATTCTTCACTTATTCTTTAATTAGTTTTAACAACTCTTTTTAATATTTATTGACATATTTAATCCTTGATTAATTTGATTAAATGTAATTTTAAACTCACAGTTAAAATTATTTTTGTTTCTAGAAAACATATCGACAACAATTTTATATTTTTTAGTGTTAATTTTTTTTATTTCACCTGTAGCGGAGTGCTAGCTAGCTAACAAAATACTAAAGGGTGTGACTAAATTACTACAACCACTCAAAAAATATTATTCACTAAAATAGTGTTTTGTATGTTTTTTTTTAATTTTATCCTTTAATATTATGTTTTTTTAATTATGCTTCATAATTTATTTTGATTTATTTTTATTGAGTTATATGTCGATCTTACGAATATAATTTTTTTTCTTTTTAGTTTCAACGTTAGATTTGTTGGAAGTGGAGCTTCATAATTTTTTTTAATTTGTTTTTTACAAATTTATCATGATCTCATTA